CGTTAATCAATTAAAATGGACAGAAGGGAGACAAAGAGAAAATATTAAGATACAGATAAGACTTCATTTTTAGGTTAATAGGGACGTTCACTATCAGAGAATTAGGTATGCACACCACTTAGAAAGAGAAGCATGGCAGTTAGAAAACACATTGCTTTGGACTTCTGAATTTTGAATTACCTAGTACTTCAAAGGGCTTGCCTCATAGCTCAGTTGGTAGAGAATCTTCCTACAATGCAGGAGCCCTGGTTGGGAAGATCCCCTGGAGAAGGCAATGGCAACCCACTCCAGTATTTTTGCCTGGAGAATCCCATGGACAGAGGAGCCTGGCAGGCTACAGTCCATATGTCACAAGAGTCAGACATGACTTAGCAACTAAATCACCACCAGGACTTTAAAAGGGGACAAGGCAAAATAGGAATAAAAAAAGAAATGTCTGAAACATAGTTATCTGTAGACAGTAGAAATTCAACTGTGTAAAAAAAAGTAACAGGTAACACTTACTGAACGCCGCATACACTGTTTTAGGAGCTTTATGTATTAACTCACTGAATCCTCACAATCCTCCTCCTTAGTCTACAAATGAGTTAAACAGGAGCACAGAAAATGGCTAACCACTGAATGGTGGAGTTGCCATTCAATGCCAGGCTGTCTCCAAAGCCCACCACTTATCACACTACAGGAAGTTTACTGAATGGACAATATACTGAAGCTAATTCCTGGCCTAAATGAAACCATTCAGAGAAAACTTGTGGGGAAAGAGGCTGAGGACATAAAGGATAGATGTGTGTGTAGGGGGAAGGTGGTGGTGGTTATGGAGTGATGAGTTTATTGTCATAAAACCAAGTAGGCAGCCAGCTTTATCAAAACTCTCAGGAAATCAAGGACAAGAGTAGTAATCTTACTGTGAATGTTTAATTCTAAACTCTCACTTATAGTATTTTGACCAGTATTCAGTAATGCTAAAAACCAATTTCGTTTCCTATTAATTCTTAAGTATAAGGTGTGGTTACATACTACATAAACAGATTGGAAGAATTCAATTGTCAAAAATACCTTGAAAACTGAAGGAATTCTGACTTAACTATGCAAATGGTTTTAAACAAAACTACTCCACATCTTTTATGATCAATGAAGCTACTCATCTTTTATGAAGGGAAATCTCTTTCAGAACATAATGATACATAATTCATTTATCCAGTCATTTAAGATACTTTAGAATTCTGGCATTAAAATGATGAAGACAATAATTAGAAAGCCTTATGAAAACAGACTGAAAAGAAAAAAAAAATCAAGTCTTCACCTGAAGTTGAAATATAAATTATGATGAGCAAGTTATCCTAAAAATATGAACATCTATTCATTACATTTTCTTGATACAAAGACTGTATTACATAACACAACTTAAATGAAGCATCATGTGTAGTTCAACTTTCAAATATTTTGTTCCATATTTCCTGGACCAAATGATATTTTACTCCTTCAAATTTGTGTTCAATATAGTATGGCACATACATTTTATCCCTTCTGAATAATGTTTTTCCATAGCCATAAAATGAAATATTATACATTATAATTAAAACTGAAAGTCAGCTTAATAGATTATAAAAATCTTGTCTTACTTCCTAAAAGTACTTGAATAACAGTCAAGCTTTTCTCCAGTACAAACTAGTAAAGATTTATGGGGAAAAAAAAGGGGGGGGGGAGGATTTACGGAATCTTCAGTGTTAGAAATATATCAGGAAAAATTCACTTGTACTATCCCTATAAACAAAGTAAAAGTCTCAAGTTCTAAAATTACATATGCCTTATGATTTTATTTTTCATTTGAAGAATATATTTGTTAACTATGACTGAATGATTCTTTTCCCTTTTAATATTCTTTTAGAGCTTCACAGATTTGTTCCAATTGCCGAACTGGTCATGTCCATAACTTCAGATCACCTCGATCTTCCCATCCTCTTTTCCTTCTGAGATGAAGTAGCAATCCTTTGGAAAACCCAAGATTAATAAAAATAAACAAGTGTTTAGTAATCTGCTTCTCACCTTCCTCACCACTTATTATTCTGGTCTAATATCCCCTATTTTGTTTACCAGCTATCTAACTGAACTGGGATCAATCTCAGTTCAAGTAATTATGTTTAAGTCTTACTTAAATAATTTATGTATCAAATTTCACAAATAATCAGTTGATTTTAGAACAATTCCTTATTTTACTGAGGTTGTGTGAAATGCAACTGGGAGAAAATATTTCAGAATACAAACCTACAAATTAAATTAGGGACATAGATAAAATGCTGCAGACATCAGTAGTTTATTGTTTGTTTAGTCCAAACACATTCAAAATGGAAACTCAAAGAATACTTTCCACCTGAAACAATTAAACTAAATACTACTAGCATATAATGCTTAACACATTACAGCAATAAAGATGGTAATCCATTGTCTTCTATACCTACTAAAGCCAAGATGGTAAAGCCAATTTGGTTGCAATAGTGTCATAAGGATAGAATAGAATATTACCATCCAAAAAATAAAAACAAACAAACAACAACAATTAAAAAAAAAAACAGCAAATAACAATTATGGTAGATGAATGTTTTTACTCTGGTTCACTGAAAAGGGGACAAAATGTTAAAAGTCCACAGTACTGCAGGTGAATAATCACCATGTAAACTTCTCCATGTGATGTTTTAATGTTTTATTCATGGTATGTAAAGACTGAAGCTGAATGGCTCTTTGCTTTAATTTTCTATTACACTTAACATTTATCATTACTTTTGGTGCCAGAACAGTTTTCATGGGTGGAAGGGCAATATCTTGGATTCAAAATTTTATATATATATATATATATCAAATAAAGGAGAAGGAGAAAGAAATGAAAGAGGAACAATATGCTATAAAAAAAAAAACACTGACAAGAAACCACTTATTTAAAAGCAGTTTGAATAAAAGCTTCAAAACTCAAAAGTAATTTTCTTGTAAGAACTTCAAGTACTATACATTAGAAAGCATAAATGTATTTCAAACAGGAAAAAAAAATCCTTAAACCCCCCAAAATGGAAACTGAGAAATCTGCGTCCCCAAAATACATCCAATAGTGCAAGACTTTTCCTCGAACATGGAAGACCTCATTCAAGGGGTGGGGTGGGGGTGGGGGGGGGGGGAATAGGCTTAATTTTACTTACATTGCCCAGTACATGAAAAACAAAATATGTGCATCATTTGCTAGTTTACTAAATAGCAAACAGTTTCATAATTAAGAAAGTTTGCTATTATGTCAAGTGCATTTTTTGTTTGTTTTTACTAAGACAGAATGGAGAAGTCTTCCATGCTACAAGCAGCTTTAAGTGGTCACACTTATTTACCCCACTCCTGGCCTGAAACATCAGAAACTGGTAGGTACCAAATACTCCAGGCATAAAATCGGAGATCCTTTTGTCATATTTGTGGTTTACCGGAACTTGCTATAAAGACAGACAATAATCCAGCAGCTACAAACTTTGCTCACAGAATTGTTTAGAGATTCATGTAAAAATAAAAGATGTCATCCCAGACTTAAATTCAGAGCCACTCGGGTGCTGACATCAGGTCAAGAATTGTGCAAAATGAATGACAGTTCCCTGCCCCCCCAAATAGAAAATGCAAACACTTAAGAGCTGCTGTTCTTTTCTCTGAAAATTGCAGTATCCTCACTTCAGGTTTACGTGCCATTTATGGAATCTGACTGCTTTTAAAAGGTCACTAAAAATGTACATCAAGTTGACTGACTTTTCCAAGTACCTCTCAAGTGATACGCTTCAACGTTCACCTTCAAGCTAAGAGAAAAGTCAACAAGAGACTTTGACTCAAATAACTGACTTCCTCCTTCCCTCTCCCTCCCAAACACACAAGACTCCTTCCCACAGAGAACACAAAGTTGTTAACTGAAGAACAAGGTAAATAATATACTAGTCAATTTTACTGATTTTAAAGATACTGCAATTTTTATATACTTCAATGATTTCTCAACATTTTGCAGCTGTTTGGCTTTGCAGCACAGCAATTTATACACTATACTGTACAAAATTACCAGCAAGACTGGAATGATGTATTAATAGAAGGCACCATCATGCGTATTACATTACCAGAGAACAGAAATACAGTAAAGACAACTTTCACTGTACACAGCTTAAAGAAAGGAAAGGGGGAGGAGGAGTGTGTCGAGCAGCCAGCCATCCCTGTACTGAAGAGGGGCAGGTAGAAAAAAACCTTAGATGTGGAGCTACTAAATCTGGTCTAATATTCAAGACCATAGCATTTGAAGTTCTGATCTTTGTTATTTAGTTCATAACTAAATGACTTCCTTCTGGAATATACTTGTAGTCTTGTTAAGGTTTATGTGTACACACGCTGGTCACAGCAAGCAGGTAAAAATGCCCTCATCATTTCACAAACTATGCTCTACTGGAAAAAAAGATGAAAGATTTTTTTCCCCTATTGCCTCCTGTTGCAGGTGTCAAGGTTAATGAGTTCAGAGTACCCATTAGTGCATTCTGATGAGTGCATAACAAGTTTTTCTGTTGGTTTTTATTTTTGGGGGGAGCCAAGAAAAAAAGGCAAGATTCTCCAATTGCACAAATTGCACTATTTGTGTTTCCAACAATAATAGGCAGAAACAGTAACACTTAAACAAAATGTGCAGCAGAGGATATTTTGACTCAAAGGACCTGAATTCAGTTGGGCATGTCCTTTTAAGTTCATTTTGTTGTAGATAGTTTAAGATATGGTCATTTCTCAGTCCTTAATTCTCCAAGTCTAGATAAATTAACAATGTGAATCCTGTTGTAAAATTGGGGAAATAATGTCCACCTCAATTTAACTGATAACCGAAAGATGCTTTTCACATCAAAGAAATGATCAAAAAGGCTGTGTCACATTCCAAAGCCAAAAAAAAATTAATAAGAATGCAAACACGATGAATAATGTACCACTGTCAGGACTCTGCCGACAGTGGCACCTCAGCGACGCTGTCCTGTGAAGCGGCCTTCCATTTGCCCGGCTCCTCTCCCAGAGCCAAGCTTCTGTGCCATGCCGCCTCTCAGAGGGGGTCCTCTTCCATCCCGGTCGCGCATCATTCCGCCGCCCACGATCCCCCGAGGACCACCGGGACCTCGATCACTGCGCCTAATATCCCGGCGGTCATCACCACCACCTCGAGTTTCTCGCTCTCTGGCAGCTCTTGTCTTTTTCTCTTCCACATTTAAACGTACTTCCCCTCGAAACATAATTGGCTTTAAAAAGAAAGAAAAAAAATGTACATGGGCAGGTTAGACAGTAATAGTGATGTAAGAAATAGTGATTTTCTTACTTTCTTACATAAGCAAGAAAATTCTAAAAGACAAAAAAACTTTTCATAAAATTCTCAATATGCAATCTATTCTCAATATCCAACCTTTACCAGAGTAAATAATAAACAAATTTATTTTAAAATGATTCATATCTCAAATTTTAAAACTACTAACACATCTTTATTCTGTGCATAAATACTAGTTCATAGTAAACTATTTTTAACTGTACGATTTAAAAAAGACTAATTCACATTAAATAAAACAGGAATAATAAGGTATTCAATTATGCCCTTTAAGTCACTTACTTTTGCAATTAAGATTCTCTGAACTGGTTCGGAGTCATCAAAAACCACAAAACCAAAATTTGGAAGCTTTCCCCCAACACCCTTGGTATTGATGCGAAGTTCCACAACATTTCCAAAACCTGTGAAAATATACATTACACAAAGGATAAAATATTTTAACAGAATATTTTGTAACTGTTACTGTTTAGAATTTAATACCTCATTCTACCTGACCCATTTCAAATCACAACTTGCAAGCTGCTATACCCATTGCACATTAAGGTACTTTCACTCTTACAGGTTTCACATCATTCACTTAAGATGCCAACAGCTAGCCTATTCTGTTGCCCTGCATCTTTATCAGTCCATTCAAAAGGAAAACTTACCTACACATTTTAGAGAGACAATTTTATTGTCTATATTAGATTTTATTTGCTGAATGACTCCCATTTCCAAATTTAAGACTGATTCACCCAGCTCTTTCTTCTAATCTCTACAGAAGCAGGTCAATCAACACTAAGTACAGTCACTGGGAAACATCTGATGTAACCTTATACTCCTGACCAATTAAAGGTGACCAGTACCTAGAGAAATACACACTATGTATGGAGGTAAATTTTTTTTTAAAATCATATTACGAAAATAGTAGAACATATATAAAATAGAATACTACTAAGCCGTTCAGTTCAGTTCAGTCCAGTCACTCAGTCATGTCCGACTCTCTGCGACCCCATGAATCGCAGCACGCCAGGCCTCCCTGTCCACCACCAACTCCCTGAGTCTACCCCAAACTCATGCCCATCGAGACGGTGATGCCATCCAACCACTTCATCCTCTGTCGTCCCCTTCTCCTCCTGACCCCAAGCTCTCCCAGCATCAGGGTCTTTTCCAATGAGTCAATTCTTCGCATGAGGTGGCCAAAGCACTGGAGTTTCAGCCTCAGCATCAGTCCTTCCAATGAACACCCAGGACTGATCTCCTTTAGGATGGACTGGTTGGATCTCCTTACAGTCCAAGGGACTCTCAAGAGTCTTCTCCAACACCACAGTTCAAAAGCATCAATTTTTCAGCGCTCAGCTTTCTTTATAGTCCAACCCTTATATCCATACATGACCACTGGAAAAACCATAGCCTTGACCAGATGGACATTTGTTGGCAAAGTAATGTCTCTGCTTTTTAATATGCTATCTAGGTTGGTCATAACTTTCCTTCCAAGGAGTAAGCGTCTTTTAATTTCATGGCTGCAGTCACCATCTGCAGTGATTTTGGAGCCCAAAAAAATAAAGTCTGACACTGTTTCCACTGTTCCCCATCTATTTCCCATGAAGTGATGGGACCAGATGCCATGATCTTAGTTTTCTGAATGTTAAGCTTTAAGCCACCTTTTTCACTCTCCTCTTTCACTTTCATCAAGAGGCTCTTTAGTTCTTCTTTACTTTCTGCCATAGCCATTAAAAAGAATGAAATAATTCCATCTGCAGGCACATGGGAGGACCTAGAGATTGCCATACTGAGTGAAGTCAGACTGAGAAGAAGAAATATCATATGACATAATACACGGAATCTAAAAAGAAATGATACAAATGAACTTACTTATGAAACAGAAAGAGACTCATAGAGAACCAACTTATGGTTTGGGGGGGAGGGGGATAAAAGGGAAGGGATAGTTAAGGGAGTTTGGGATCAATATGTACATGCTGCTATATTTAAAATGGATAACCAATAAGGATCTACTGTATAGCTACATGGAACTCTGCTCAATGTTATGTGGCAGCCTGGATGGGAAAGGAGCTTGAGTGAGAATGGATACATGTATATGTCTAAAAAAAAAATTAAAAACTATAGCAAATCAAAATAGTTGTCAAAACTTTTGGCATTACCGTCAATTATCTGGAATATAATGTTACGTGAAAATCTGATTATAACAACAGAATGCTTTCTCTGAAATAAAAGTCAAGAAGAATAAGTCTTAGGATTAGAAAAAAAATTCTCTTCACTTCCTGCTTAATTTTACCATAAAGCAAAGTAAACCACTTACTCATGAAGAACTCTTTTAGTTCATTTTCATCAATATCATGTGGCAAGTTACCAACAAAGAGTTGATGACTATCTGGATAGCGAATTATTCTACGGTTGTCAGATTCATTCTGTTCAATATCTCCTCTCCCTGAGAAGAGGAACAGAGCAGATATTAAAGTTTACAATGTCATATAATAAACAGCTAGTTCAAAGCAATGAAAGTTAAAAACCCCAACACTTGATATTCTTGTTTTAGTTTAATAAGGTAATAAGCTCCTTTGAGTTGTGGAACTGCCTATTATTAGTAGGTTAGTGAGAAAATAACAAGACACTGAAGTGTTAACTGAGGGTACCAACTAGATTGCCAAAGTCCCTTCCTTCTAGATCTACTGGGCTGATCATGTGAAAGCCTAGTATCAGCAGTACAAGTATTCCTCCTTAACCAAACTCTTGCACCCAGGCACTAAACTGATTTTAGATAGTGAGATGTGTTTGTACTAAATATTTGTTTAGTACTTTAAAGTGCACAAATTAATCCTGTATAAAAGATTGCTGTATAAAATTATAGCCAAATCAGTAAATTTAACAGCAATAGTATGTCATTTATGTAACCTTTTATACACCTTAGGGTGCTCATATATACATATATAAAATCTTATATGATCCTCCCACTAACACAAGGAACAGAATGAGGCATATAAAGGCATCACACAGAAAAAATTTGTGTAGTAACTGAATGGTTTAAGAGAATGTCATCATTTAAGGGTCTTACCCAAGATCACAAACTCAGTGACAAGGCTGGGATAAACCCCAGCTCCCATATCTTCTGGTTTAATAACACACTTATTTAATTTTAAAAGTATATTTTCTAAAATATGATGTATACTATCTCCCACCTCCTCCCAAAAGCAATCTAAACATATTTATAGAATTCAAATAGAGGTTCTACATATATTAGCTAACAATGGAAACAAGTCAAAAATCATGGCAACTTACTTAATACCTAAGACAATCAAAAAAGAATCAGGGTGTGATTACTGTTTATCTGTGAAGAGATAAGAGTGCTAAGTAAGAGAATAGGTTATTGGCAGCTCGGTTTTGAATTCTTAGAACCAGTGACAATAACCAAAGAAAATGTGTCTCAAAATTCTCTTATTATTTTTAAAATATATGTCTCTATGGCATGTCAACTAATTTCCCCCTCAAAGTTAGTTGTTTTACCCAGGCTGTATATATATCAGGTTACCTTAGCCTTAAGCAACTTGGTACTAAAAGGATTTGCATATAAAATACATTATAATTAAAAAAAATTTTTCCAGTTCAGTTTTCTCTAACTTTTCACATTCTAACTGCTGCAGATCACAGGAGGGGCTGACTCACCTGGTCTTGGTCCTCTAGGAGGGAAACCAGGTCGTTCTCTGGGTCGTTGTTCACGCACACGAGGTGGCTGAGACTGAACTTCTGGTTTCGCTTCCACTCTCGGCTAAAATACAAGGGAAAAAAATACATTATAAAGAAACACATTCCACAGGAAAAAAACAACCAAACTAAAGCAACACCACCAAGTCACCAGCAGGCATTATGGTAATTTTAAGTCTAGAATATTTTTAATGTATGTCCTACATATGTGAAACATAAATTTTTATAAAGATATTCTGTACCAATCTAGGACTGTAGAGTAAATTTTGTTTTCTCACTCTAGGTTATAATTCATAATAAGCTGTTATTTTTACAACCATATTTTTTCAATAAAGTTACATCCACATTGAGACAGTATAAAAAGATACTGCTACAAAAGTAAAAAAATCCAAGATGAGCCATTTCATGTAAATACATATACAAAATAAAAAGCTGTCTTTATCTTTGGAAGACAAGAATATATGATACATACTTCTAATTATCTAGTTTGCTGCCCTTCAAATTTAGTGCTCAGCGATATCATGAATAATTTTTTAAATCAATATTTTGGTAATTCAAAATATAAAATTTAGTATACTCTGGCACCTAAAAATACTACCTTAAAGTTAAGATGTACACAAAAAACAATATAGGAAGCGTGCTTATAGCATCTCAAACAGTCCAAGAAGTCCTTTAGCTTCCTGTTGTTCTTCCTTATGAGAGAGAGATGCATTTAAGGACTGACCCCAACAATGTTTCTTAACTGTTTCTTGGGCGTGGCAGGAGAAGTAATAGATCATTTTAAGTTACCCTCCAAAAGTTTCTGCTAACTGCTAAATGAAACACATGTAATTAAATAACTATATTAAAAACAAAATGACAGCTACATCTATTACCTTTTCCTTCATACATGGCATTTTCAGTATTTCCAATTTCTTCAGGCAGTCTATTACCCAAATACTTATGATCCAAGGAAGAGAGAAAACATATGCACCTTCAAAGAATGCTGAAAACACTCAGCAGGAATATGGAGAATGTGTCCTCAAGTAAAAAAACTAGCTATCTTTATGGCTGACCACCTCTGAGTACCTCAGCCCAAAAGTGGCTCAAACTCTCTCATAGTTTATATAACTAGGATACTATAATTTGCAAGGACAAATTTTGATACAAAGAGCTATGTTTCTTTCAAAAACAATTTATAGTTTTATCCGCTGTAACCAAAAGGTATATTATCTCCTATCCTAGCAGTCTTTAATAAATTTGCCTGTCTCACTCAAGTTATTTTTCTTCTAGATTTCCTATTTCTCTCAAAATGAAGTTGTTTCCCATGTTCTAGAATTTTGCTAGCTAAAAAAAACTTTCAATGTCTAACTCTTTCAGGTATTTAAATTATTTATGTGTACTTATTCCTACAAGGACCATATCTTATTTCTACACCAGAAAAAGTACCAAGTACAGTGCTATTAGACACAGATGTTCAGTAACTAATGGTTCATTTAAAATTAAATTATATTTGGTTCTCTAATTCAAAACATGCAGGAAAATGTTCTAGCCTGACCAGGGAACCAACACTACAGCCCCGAGACCACTGCTATCTGTATTTAGAATTTAAGACTACATAATAATTTGACGGAAAATGTGATGCCTGGAAAAGGCAGCTATTTAGAAATTTCAACTGAGGAGGGCAGGGCCTAAAAGCACAACTCGAACAGTATGAATATAAAACCTTATTAAATAACAGATATTTTCTAAAGTTTGATGAAGCTAGTACTTAAGGAACAAAAATAGCAAATCACACTTTTTAATTTAAATATATAGAAAAACCTCAATTCATTCAATCCAAGAAAAAGAATTCTAGCTGACTGATTCAGATTCTTTTCAAAAGATTAATGAAACAAAAATAAAGTAGCAAAACAAAAAAGTTATCATCCTTTAAGGATTTAATATTAAAAACACAAGTTTAAATAAGTTTCAACATCTTACAAATAACCCATACAAGAATTTAGCAACTTTTTAGATACTTGATGATGCCAGTACAAGAAAAATATGAGACAAAAAAATTTTATCAATATTTCTTTCAATATATGTCAATTAAGCCAGCTTTGCACTTACAATTCTTCAGGATTAATTTCATGAAAACTTCTTGCTCCAAGGAGATAAAGTAACTAAGACAACCATGTAAAACCTTCAGGGCCTGAAAATTAATTCCACGCAACCAGAAAGTGTGCTCACATGACAAATGCCACAAATGAAAGCAAACATAATATGAAATAAAAATGAAACCATCAATCAACTCAGTAACAGCAGGTAAAACCACAACTAATGTGTACTTCAACCAAACAAAAGCTACTTAAATGAACTAATCCACTTCCAACAAATCTGCCAAGAAAATAAATGAACTACTTCTAAATTAATGCCTACCAATACTTTGGAATTAGATTTAATTCTCCTTCTATTAATGTGTGCTAAGTCGCTTCAGTCATATCTGGCGTTTTGCAACCCTATGGACTGGGACCCACCAGGCTCCTCTGTCCGTGGCATTCTCCACGCAAGAATACTGGAGTTGGTTGCCATTTCCTCCTCCAAAGGATCTTGCTGACCCAGGGATCAAACCCGCGTCTCTTATGTCTCCTGCATTGGCAGGCGGGTTCTTTACTACTAGCACCACCTGGGAAGCCTTTTATTAATAATCTATGCTCAAAATGTTAAGGAAATGGATACTATACCAAAGTGACAAAAGTGAACGGTTTATTAAATCAAGAGGAAAACAATTATGAATCCATTCTTATACAGCTTCAGATCAGAAAGTATTTTAAAGTTTAAATTATAAATGTTTAAATTTTTGTCTTAATAAGGAGATAGTCTATTAAAACACAATCCAGTCTCTTACCCTTTTTTTTTCAACTTAAAATTTTATTTCTCTAGATAAGAGGCTAGGATCTAATATAATGTAACATATAGACATGACTTAGATATAGCACTTCTCTTCTTTGATGTAAACACTCTTCTTCTTTGATGTAAACAGAGATACATTACCCTCCAAGGGCTGAAGAAACCTACAGGCTTGCATGGGTATCCAACTGCATGAATTCGAAGCCCTACTATTTTATTTATATAGCTGTCTGACCTTTGGTGAAGTACTCAAGGTCTCAATTTACTTGTCTGTGAAACAGGAATAATTAGTCCCTACAGGGACTAGGTAAGAATAAATAAGTGCTTTGCACAATGTGTGGTGCCATACTAAAGGCGTAATAGGCATTAGTTACTCTAACTTTTAACTAGCAGTAAGTTTAAAATAAATGTAGCCAACTCTCTGAAATTCAAGTAATAATCCAGAAGATTCCAAACACAAATCTGGTAAGAAACTAAGACTTCCAAAAGAAAATTCAGAAAATCACTTATTGAATCTTCAAATGGGTAGAGAAATATAATCAGTACTTGGCAAATTACTTTTCTTCATTACGACAGACTTCTAGTTTGTGATCTGAGGTAATTACTCAGTATTTCCTGAATATCTAGCTGGAAAAAAAAAAAAGAAAAGCTACCACAAGGCCATGTATTCTATTACATAGCTAATTATGTGTACCAACACCAGGTAGACTGCCTAATAATTACTAGCTACTTTTGAAATCTCACAGTTTCAATGTTCAGAGCACAAAAAGAGGTGCAAAAACACAATTTTATGTGCACTAACCATTTTACATGTAAATTTTATACTGGAATGAAGCTTGACTCAAAATGTAGAAGTACTGGACACCCTTTAACTGTGCCTATTTACTTTAGAATTTGATTAACTCTAAAGTATGTCTAATGAACACATTAGGTAGCCAGTGTCTTTATTTTTCAATGGTTTTGAAAGCTCTGAGGTGGGTAAGATGACAAACAGACAAAAGGCAGAATACTAGAATGATCAGTTAAGGTGAACACTACAGTCATAAGTTGGTACAGGCTTCAATTAAACAGTATGAACCACTTACAGACTGAGAGCTTAGGCAGTGCATTTTTGTTTTTAGCTTTCTGTTTAAAAAAAAAACAAAACAAAAAAAACAATGATTCTTTATAATGCCATACTACTTCGTGGCTTTCAAATTTCTTCCCTAATATTTTTGCTAAATGACATTTTAAACTTATAAAAAGGAGTTTTTTGGTTATTTTAAGAAGGCTTTTAAATGACAATATATATTGTTAAAACTAACTAAATCTGTATTTCACACACCCATACCCCCAAATACCACCTATGTAGATGATGAATGGAGATCTGGCATTTAAAGTGGGTGCAACTGACATTTAATACAATTTTTTTGTATATTAATTCATAATTTCTGATTGACTCATTTTAAAAAGTATGAAAAAGATAAGCAATTGGCAATGTAACAAGGATACAATCCAATGTGTTCACAGATCGTTACCTGTGAGACTGGTGCTTTAACATGGGGTGGAATTCCAGAGGAAGAAACAGTGCCACTAGGAGGCAGGTTTTTACTGGTCACTGAAGCCCAGGAGAAAGCCTGCAGGAAATGCAACAAACCTAGACTACTAATCATGGAAAACCACCAACATTCCTACAGGGAAACTTCCAAATATATATTTTCTTTTCATTTCTAAACTATTGCTCTATATTGGAGGACTCCTAAAAAGAAAGGCACACACACACATGCCAGTCTATGTGCCAGGTTTCAAAATTTCATTATGCAAGATTATGACTGTTTTGTCTGAACTACTAAATAAATCCACAAGCAAGTTCCTATATGCACTAAGTAGATGAGCAAGTGGTAAGCAAAACCACTAGCAACTACACATGCTAGAAAAATAAGAACCTAATAGAATCAATTTCTTTCCCCTTTTGGGGGGAAGATAAGGTGTGTGATGGTGCTAAGGGGAGAGAGGAAGGACAGGAAAGAAGAGAGTACTAGCTGGAAACTTTAACAGACATTCACAAATAGAACAAGCAATCTCCTCTCACTACCCAAATATACCAACTTTACAGAAAAATAAAAAATGTTTTAGGTAGGTTTAAACGAAACACTATGGGTATCACTCATCTTTCCAAGACAGTTTGGTGTAGTAAGGAAACTGTTCCCATTTAAACCAGAAATAGCACACGTATCACTTGTTTTAACAATAGGCCAATTTGTTTTAAGCTGGGAAACTGCATGACTCCTGTTTGCATCCGTGTGTAGAGGACTTAATACAGAATGGAAGAGCAACTCTCGGCTTTATTACATGGACTTGAATAATTTCGTGTATGGTACTAAACACTGCACACAGATAAGAATCAAATCTTAAATTTTATTCTGAGGGGTGTTTTTTAGGGGTGAAATATGATATCCTCAGAATTACCAAAAAAACCCCACAGCTTCTTTCATACACATAAAAAAAGCATAGTTTACTATTCAACAATTAACATAGCAGAACAAAGGTCATGCTTCATGAATGGCACCGTATGAAAGCGTGACATTACGGGCCTGAAGAGCTCCTCGGATCTAACCTTTGGTGGTTCCTGCGGCAGAGAAACAGGTTCAGCAGGCGGAGGAGAAGCAGACTTCTCCTCTAACTCTTCCAAGTTCTTCTCCTCCACTGGCGGTTTCAGCTCTTCAGTCTTTGTTTCAGATTCTGGCTCAGGTTCAGGTTCATGCGAGGATTCTTCTAAAGGCTCCTCTATGCCATTACTACAATAAAATATTTCGTTCACTTTTCAGTAGGAGTGAAATGAACAACTCAAATCGGAGAAAATTCAGCCATTTCTCTAATTAATGGGCAGAACGAATAACATACACCGTTTTGAAGCAAAGTTCACTAAGAACCAGAAGGCAGAAGGAACAATACTCTCAGCAGTCTTTCTCTAACCTAAATGTAAAAACTGGATTACTAAACATGTTTACTTTAGCACTAACTATAAGGAAAATCCATTAGTTAAAAAATAAAATGCTTAGTCGGTGTCGTCTCAAACAGTATACATTATCAGTAAGTGATGAGTTTTAGGCCAAACCATTTTCAATTTTTGAATTACGTAAGAATGCTTTCCAAATTTCTTGCATATACATGGTAAATACTCAGGCACTGGCTACATAGCTTTATCAAGAATTTACTTTCAGCAACAATTCTAGGAACAAAAACCACTTGCAACTACATGATATGAATAGTTTAGGCCAAATTTTGCCTTGCAAGCACTATTCTTACGTCACAGGGTGAGCTTCATAGTAACCACTGTTAGCATTCTCCTGCACAGGTTCTGGAGATGGTTGTCTTTCCTCTTGTTCTTCCTCTACTTCATCTTCTGATTCTGACAACACATAATACACCACATCTCTTTTTAAGAGGCTTAATACACAGTTTCATATATGTATTTTTAATGTTCAAAGAAATCATAAATAGTTTAAAAATAGTGTTATTTTTTGCAAGTACAAAGGCACTTAATATTCCTTGTTCCCTTAAAAAAGAGCAAGCAAGATGAAGTTTGGAATTACGCTATTTTCTAAAAAGATCTATTAGTAAGAAAAGGAAAGGGTAGGAAAAAATGCTATTGAAGTCATAACTCAGTTTCCTTTCATATTAATTCAATGAAGCAATAATGACAGAGAATCAGAAACAAGCTGATGTATATCAACAGAAGATTAAATAATTCTGGTATAGACAAAAAAATATCAACAGCCAACAAAGACACATTAGATGAAAAAAAGGCCTAGCTTTGAGTCAGCTACTTCCACTTTTAGGAAAGTATCAGTCAGTACAGAATACAACAAAATTCTATAGTAGGCACCAAATTCTTGGTTATCTATATAGAATGAGATTGAGGGATTTTTTTTTTTCACTTCTGTGTATGATTTTTATAAAATTTCATATAAAGAACATCTGTTTTTTAAACAAAAAAAAAGAACAAAAAGGAGATAAGGGGCTTTGACTCAGTTACAAAGTCAAATTTCTGTAAGTTTCACATTTTCCACGTCATTAAAGAGTACTGATACCAACAAAACCCTTGTATCTTGAAATCTCAAGATATCTCACCTTCATCAAGTTCTGGTTCAGAATCACCAAATACTTCATCTTCATAACGAAACATATCATTGTGAACATAAAACTTATTTGGAACAGATCCCTATTAAAAAAAAAAAATCCAAATACTCCATAAATACCCATAAATGTGGTATGACATTAAAGAGAATAAAGTTTTTATTTTAATACAGAAATAATGTAGACTGAATATAACTTTCCAAAGCTGAACATGCTATAATGTTAATATAAAGAAAATCAACGAATACTTAAACTCAAGAAATGACTACTTTCAAACTATTAAATAACACACTTTTAATATTATTTCTGTAATCTTAATCATCTATTTGCACATTTGTATCAGGATCTCATTAACAGTCAAAGCATAGAAAATTCAAATAAACGAACGGGTCCAACAGGTTCCTCAACAACAGTGACATGCACACCTGTGCCTGTGAGAGGAGACCAGCCACTTCAAGCAACCAGTTAATAGAAAAATGAAGTCACATAAATGAAAGTTAATTGAAACGAAAACTTACTTCAGGAGCCAGAACAAAGGTCTGCATAAACTTCCTCTCTGGTTGTCCACTGTTAGACAGCAAACCCATGACCTGGACCACTACTCCATCACTCAAGGTTGCATGAGCATCCACATGACGAATTTTAGTATGACATTCGCTGAAGTTCAGAGATAATACTTTGTGGTGTATATCCTTTATTAGGAGGTGGAGAGGAAATACAAACTCATGATATTGCATTACCTTTTTAACACTAAGTTACCTATTCAATACTACAGACTTCCACCAATTTCCTCACAACTCTAGAATACTAACTACTTAATCTCTCTGCCTCATTTGAATCCATTCCACCATGCTATGCATCACTGACAGACCCATGTTCCATAAACCATGTTGACTACTGCATGACCTCACACGTGGTAATACTTTACTGCTTGTGTGCATTTCTTCTTTCAATTTCCTCTTGTTTGGTAAAGTCAATCCTATAATTCAGAGACTAGCTGAAATCCCACATCCTCTACAAAGTCATAAGGAATATACTTCTATTCATTCCTGTAACATAAGGTTTAGCCCACATTTCTATAAATATTATACACTGTCTCAACTGTTTCAGGTATAAAATACACCAGTGATATAAAAATGTCCCATTTTCTCTTTTGTATCCATGCCAATGTTAACACTGTGCTTCCTACAAAAATCAATGTTTATAACAACTCAAAGCACATTTGACAAGTATTGTAACATAAATTTTAGCATAGCTAACTGATCCCACTCAAGAAGAAATCCATGGGCACAAGAAGGTTATTTTCCAAATCTCTAACTTGAAATAATCCTAACTTAAACTAAGTTCAAGTAAGTTAAACCAGTTAAAATAGTCTTAAATGTAATGAAACTGACACTTACATTTTGGCCATAGACAGCCTCCTGGGGCTTTCCACTAGCATCTACTCCACCATGAACATATGAAGAATTCCTGCCATAAAACCTGTAAGAGCATTGATAATGATTCACATTCAGCTATGAACAGAAAGAAGTCTAGGAGGGAGGAGAGTCCCGGTATTAAGCAGAGTTAGTTTCCAGGTCTGGCTCTGTCACTGATTAGCTGTGTAACCGTGAGACTTACACTCTTCAAGTTCACTTTCCTTGGTAACATGGAACAAGAGTTAACTTCTCCACAGAGTTACTCTAAGGATTAAATGAGCAATGGCATAGGATTTTTAGTGTGCCTGGCTATTAGTTATACTGTCTTTAGCTATTTTCATCTTACTGTATCTATATGCTGTTAAGTGGGAAAATGAGACATTCAAAATATATTCTAAATACCGATGCTGCTGTTTATTTACCCATTTTTGTCAAATGTAAAAACTCAGTTATTTAGATCTGTTTGGAATCAGATACTATTTAACACTCATTCTACTAAGAGTTCCAAATGACTACTAATTCCAAAGGCTAAGGTTAAAAGTTTAGACTTAATTGAAATAATTCAGAGATCAAGTTTAAAATATTATATATATTATTTTAGCATCTAATTTCTCAATATTTTTATACTGCTCTTAAGTACATGATAAATTAGTTTTTCTCTGGTACTACATAAAGCAACTAGGAGATTTTCCTAAATTAAGGTTATCAAATATGCAAAATTAATTTTTTCATAAGGAGAACTCAGCTCCTATTGGAATAAAACATGGAAGACTTCCTCTATGACAACTTTCTCAGTGCACTACACATGTAGTGATTCATTCTAGTCTCCTAACAACCTCAGGACTAACATAAGTGCTGTTATCTAAATGAACAAACTGAAGTTCAGAAGAGGTTAAGTTAACTTAAATGTTACACACCTATCAAGTCAGAGCAGCTGGCTCCAGACCCATGCTTTTAACCACTACCCGTATTTTTTTTTTAATGTTTACACTGTTCTCTCTCATGTACTACTGGCAAGCATGTATACAGTTTTCATTTGAACAATTTGGCTGTTAAGTGTGCATAGAAAAAGCTTTAGAGAAAATCATACCTTTGATTTAACAATTCTATTTTCTAGGAAGTTATCCTAAGAAAACAACTAGAAAGATGCCCAAAAATGCACGTGTAAGGATAGGCACTACAGTGTTAGTAACTGAAAAATTTAAAACAAACTTAAATTTTTTATGAATAAGGAAATCTGCTATACAAGCTAAGTATAAAACAGAAGTCTGTGCTGTTACCTGAAATTATGGTAGAGAGTCTTGTCTTTCCTTGTTATAAAAAGAAAAAGTTAAAAATGCTAATACCTACACTGTGAGACAAAATTTCAGATAATGAAAAGCCTTAATAATTCCATTCTCCCTCAAACTTACATATACTATCAACAGGAATGTTTTTATTTTTATAATCAGAAAAATGTACAGGTACTGATTCTTTTTTGGGGGGGGCAGTGTTAGTTATCTTAAAATGTCTCCTGGAATAATATAGAGACTATTACACACATGTTTAGCAATGGCAGGGCACAATGCAAAACAGAACTTTAGAATGCCCAGCACATTTATAAAGAGAACCTGTATCTAAAAGAGAAAAGTCCTTTAACAGTCTTTCCCACGCGAAGCGGCAAGGACACACTTATCCTAACTCATCTGGCTCGTGTGTTCTACAACAAACGCCGGCAAAGCCTAATCCTTACAAAGGCCTCACTTATCTTCGACCTACTAAAAAATACACCAGGTAGAACAAAAATTATAAATACTACCCATAATATAAATCAATTTCATTTCAGTCTCCGGAAAAAAATAAGCTCATATACATGTCTTGCCAAAATAGTAAACAAGGCTATTCTTGCCATCTCACAAAGGAATATTTTCTTGTGAATCAATCTGAAGGAATTTTCACAAATGAAATCAATTAACTGATTCATTTCCTAACGCTGCTACAGAGAACTTTTAAAAACCACACAAAAACCAAATGAAACAACTTAACCTGTGATTTCAATCAAGACTAGAACCCATTAGTCAGTCAAGTCTGTGGTTTAAAAAAAAAAAAGAAACATAAAATACCAGACCATGTAATTGTTTATGTGTGTGTACAGATGTGAATGTGTTATATAATGGGATCTGATAAGGAGTGTTTTTTTTACTGTGGATTTCATTCAAGGAGGAAACTTGAAAAAGATGGGTTTTATGCCATCAGATTGTTAAACTATTGGATGAGCTTTGTAAAGATACTTGTCAGGACGCGAGGAGACAGGAAACACAAAATTTATATGTAGTCATATTCAGAAAATAAAAGTAAATAAAAATAGTAAATAATCCAATTAAAATTTACCTGTGTAAATATTCTGGAGCTTTATTCAGCAAAGTATAATATTGCCTCACAAACTCCCGCCCTACAAGCAGCGGACTGGGCTTCTCCATAACCATTTCTTTGCTGCACAATGTCAAATACTAGGGAAGCAAACATAAGAATGTTAACTCTTAAAAGTCATCTTTGTTAAATACTATGAAGCAAATTTTCTTAGCCATTCAAATGAAAATAAAATCACTTATTAAAAAGTAACAGTAAAATAATAAATTCCCAGTAACTACTTATAACCTCCAACATTTGCCATTTCCTCTTCGTCTCTATTTCTTGATCTCCCTATGTCTCAATACAAGGGGAAGAGGCATGTCCAGTGCTGTCTCAGACTAGGTGGCATCATAATAAAGTCTTTTTACTCATAGTATATTTTTCCTTTGGGGAACATTATCTCCTACATTCTTATATTTTAATGGTTTATTTTTGAAAACTAGGCAGAGGGCACAACTCAGGACTTGGGAGATTACACTTAGAGACAGTAATAGCTTTTGTCTTCTTTATATAATACTCTTGCCTTCTAGGGATTAATTTCACTATTTCAAAACCGTAATAATTACCATTAAAAATCAGCAATACTCTAAATACTCAGATAATGGTGTTTCACATTTAGTGTATGTCTTTTCAACCTTTCTTGCTATTAATTATCTAACTACATGTCAGACACTGTTCATATTAAGTGGGATACCTCAGTGAACAGGACTCTAGCCCTCAGAGTTTATAATCTATCATGGAATACAGACAAGCAAACAGGGAACAGAATGGGTTAGGTGCGACTTTAAACGTACCTCTCAGCCCCAACTCTCAAAGATAAACCAGTAAAAATAAAAATAGAAACATAACCTTTCATCATTTAAAGTAAATAATTCATGTCTATAACCCTCCAAACAGTAAAAGTCATAACACTAGGAATTAAGAGAAATGGGAAGAAAAAACAGAAAATATGAGTATCACTAGTTTAAATACACATATATATACACGTTTGTGTGAAACTACTGAGCAAATCAAGATGCAGTTTAAATTCCTGTTAACAAATAAACTTCAACGTGGGTTTTTTTGCTGCACTAAACTTGCTGGATCTTAGCTCCCTGTCAAGGATCAAACTCATGCCCTCGGCAGTGAAAGCAAGAAGTCCTAACCACTGGAAGAGTGAAAGTGAAGTCGCGTCCGACTCTTTGCGACACCGTGGACTGTAGCCCACGAGGCTTCTGCATCCATGGGATTCTCCAGGCAAGAATACTGGGGTGGGTTGCCAGTTCCTTCTCCAGGGGATCTTCCTGACCCAGGGATCGAACCCAGGTCTCCCTCATTGCAGGCAGACGCTTTAACCTCTGAGCCACTAGGGAAGCCCCTAACCACTGGACTACCAGGGAATTCCCTCAAAGTAGGTCCCCTTTTAAAAATTTCACAAAGATAGCCCACCATTATCACTAAAGCTTTTTAATAATCAGATACCAGCCATAAAGGAGCCTACGGATAAAACTCTATTAAATTAATCCTGGTGCCTCCCAACTCAATTTTTACATTATGCTGTATTAGGTTCCCTGTTTCTCCTTTTGCGATTGTCTTGAAACTCAGTAGATATTAAAAAAACATATCTTTAGATAATGCCTAACTGCTTCCAGTGCCAGGATCTGGGGGGAGGGGCAGTGGCAAGAAGTCCTTGAAGCAGCCGAAGAAACAGGCAAAGATGGAAGAGGAAGGCGAAGCTCTCAGGCAGTAACAAAAAGGTGAGGAGAAGCTGGAGGAGCTGAAACCGAAGGCCATGCGGAAGGCGCCCCGGGCCACAGGCAGAATTTGGAAATCTGGCAAAAAGCTGTTCCTTATGCCTCAGGTGATGGTAATCCTTACTTCCACTGCTGTTTAAACACTTGCATTCTCTTCCATAAAATTTTTTTGCCACCTATAGCTAGAAGAAAAGGCTTCCCTGGTGGCTCAGTGGTAAAAAAAAAAATCCATGTGCCAATGCAGGAGTAGTGGGTTCAATCCCTGCGCCAGGAAGATTCACTGGAGAAGGAAATGGCAACCCACTCCAGTATTCTTGTCTGGGAAATCCAAACCTCATGGACAGAGGGGCCTGGCGGGTTACGGTCCATGGGGTCACAAAAGAGTTGGACATGACTTCGCAACTAAACAACAACAAATAAGCTAGAATAAAGTGCTGTGTTGGAGCCCGTGGCACATTCAAGAAAAGAAATGTTCACATAGTGGCTTATCCATTCAGTTCTCCCTTAGTCATTTCTATCCTAGTGAGAGCAAAGTAAACCCAGCCTAGAATCCAGGCAGTCTGTTCTTCAATCTTTGCTCCACCTTAAATTTTGTGCCACCTACAATTAAATCAACTCATCAAAAAAAAAAAAAAGTTAATGCACAAAGCAAAATTAGATACAGTCATTTCAGGTGCCATTCGTTTCCCCCAAACCTAAAATCCTCCAACAATAAGGATTAACAGATCCTGATGCATAGAGAGACTTATTTACTATGTTTAAAGAAATGAAGCAGGGACTCCCCTGATGGCCCAAAGTTTGAGAATCCACCTTGCAATACAGGGGGCTGGGGTTGATCCCCAGTTGGAGAATTAAGATCTCACAGAGCAACTAAGCCCAGGCATTGCAACCACTGAGCCCATGCACCCCAACCAGAAAGCCCAAGCACCTCAAGGAAAGCGCCTCTGTGACACAATGAAGACACAGGCAAGTAAACAGCCTTAAAAAATAATGAAGGAAAAAAAACGCAGTGTTTTTATTAAGAATGATAGGCAAGGTTGAAGAACAGGAGACTTACCTAGTAAAATTTTATACAACAACAAAAACATGGAAATTATGCACATTTAAAACTACTGTTAACAACTGATGTTAAGCTGTGACAAAATACCCTCTGAATGAAATATTATGTACAAAACAGTTTTGTTCAAAGGTCAATGACAAAAAACACTATTAGGTATTGTTTCTGAGTTTGGGGATTCTCATTTTTCCCTTTTTTTCTTCTCTACTTCCAGATTTTCTTCAGTGAGACTTTGTTACTTATCCCCATTTCCCAACACATTTATAAAGTACACTATTCACCTGCCATTTTTGTCACCGATGTATAACCAAAGTGGAAAAAAAAAAGTGTCACACTAATCAATATCAAAGAAAGGTCAAAATACACTGGAGTTTTTGTAACAAAGTTCAAGAGAGGTTTCACATTGCCCACTACCTTTACAGTCACTGAAGTTGATGGCCATGAAGCCAGGGATCATCAATTTATATCAGAGAGACAGGCAAGGAAACTGGCAGTGGGGGCAACTTTTTACTTGATTACCCAATAAATTACATTTATTCAAAAAGAGATAATCTGAAAAGTGAACTCTGAATGGGGAATGAGATAAAGCAGTGCTAACCTGGTGAAAGCCTAAACAAACAGCTATACATAAGAAGCTGGGCAGAGTCCAGTTTTTAAAAAGTTACAGGTAGACTCCCACAGGGAGTAGATGAAATGAAGATGTTACATAGAGGACGGTGTTCCAATTAAATACACTGACTTAAATGCACTCAATTTAGAGGGCTAAAATATAATTGACTGATGGGAAATCAACTACATTAACCAGAAAGTAAAAAGTATGGGGGGAGGGTTATGGAAAGCAACCTCACTCTACTTTTAACAACAGATTAATTCATGTATTCTACACAAACAAGGGAAGCTACAAGGGCTTCCTTTGTAGCTCAGTCGGTAAGAATCTGCCTGCAGCGCAGTAGACCCAGGTTCAACCCCTGGTTCGGCAAGATGCCCTGGAGAAGGAAATGGCAGCCCACTCCAGTATTCTTGTCCGGAAAATCTCACGGATACAGGAGCCTGGTGGGCTGCAGTCCATAGGGTCACAAAGAGTTGGGCACGACTGAGCGACTAACACACTTACTTATACAAACAACTGCCCTCTTTCAGCTTTCTCCCCTGGAGTGGGGAAATCCATTCACAGGAAAGAACCCAAGTCACAGGCAAGAAATCTATGGACTTTGGGTCCTTCCACTTACGTTTGTTTGTAAAATAAAACGCTGAACATGAAAGTAAGGAAAGGGTTTCCCGAAGGCCACGAAAGTCTCAGCCTGTTGAGACGGCGATTTCTCAACTCACAAATTAAGAAGTGATCTTTAGTCAAGCCTACAAGACTATATAGTTCAACAAAGATAGCCAAGATTTAAGAATACTTATGTACAAAAAGAATCTTCAGAAGGTTGTTAGCCTCAAATCAGCTTTAAAGAGCAATTATCATCTAACACCTTTTTTCAAAATGTCAAATTCCCCTGTAAAGTCCTACTTTCTCCCAAAACACGTGAGTATGTGGAGACTCTTGTCACACTGGAATGTACAGTGTAAAAGGTACTCTTTTCCTGTCAGTTAAAAGCAGTATCACCCTATTTATTCATCAAGATACCAACCTGATTACATCTGGCTTTCCATACTATTTAACAGAACCTCAACTACCTCAGAGGTCATTCACTAACTCTGCCTGTAACACCTGTGTATCTTCAAACATCTTTTTATTCGTTCCTGTCTTTCCCCTGAATTCTCAAAGTATTTTATCATGCACTCAGTTCAGTTCAATCATTCAGTCAGGTCTGACTCTTTGTGACCCCACGGACTGCAGCACACCAGGCCTCCCTGTCCATCACCAACTCCCAGACCCTATTCAAACTCATGTCCATTGAGTTGGTGATGCCATCCAACCATCTCATCCTCTGTCGCCCCCTTCTCCTCCCACCTTCAATCTTTCCCAGAATCAGGATCTTTTCCAATGAGTCAGTTCTTCACATCAGGTGGCCAAAGTATTGGAGTTTCAGCTTCAGCATGAGCCCTTCCAATGAATATTCAGGATTGATATCCTTTAGGATGGACTGGTTGGATCTCCTTGCAGTCCAAGGGACTCTCAAAGAGTCTTCTCCAACACCACAGTTCAAAAGCATCAATTCTTCAGCACTCAGCTTTCTTTGCAGTCCAACTCTCACATCCATATATGACCACTGGAAAAACCACAGCTTTGACTAGATGGACCTTTATTGGTCAAGTAATGTCTCTGCTTTTTAATATG